TGCCCTTCTCTCCCAGGTTGTGGTTTATCACTTCCTGAAATTGGAGAAAGTCGTTCCTTTTGGGTTCTGTGATGATATCGGTCCTCCTGTGGTCTCCTTTTAAGTTCTTCTTTAGTGGATTGACCATTCGTATCCGTGAGCTGTTGATAAAAATCTTGGGCTTGTTCTATCGATTCTATTTTGATTTTCCTCTCTTTCCACGTAATTAACATCCCTTCCGGGATTAACCATTTAAATTGGATTCCTTTTTTATTTAAATCATTAGCTAGAAATTTATAATCTTGTCTTATCATCCTCACTTTCTTTGGAATTTGTTTTAAAATCATAATTTCTCTGCCTTTATATGATATTGTTTCCTCCCTAGACATTTTCAAAATTAAATCCCTCAGACATCTCCTAGAGAAGCGGATATGGATTTCTCTTGGGCAGTTGTTGCATCTGGCGTAGCTTGTGCTAACCCTATATACCTCATCAAACTCTTTAATTAGATCATCTTTTTCCTTTCCTAACCATTCAGCCAATATTTCTGCCATCAAATGTTCCAATTCTTCATTTTTTGCTTCAGCCACATTCTGGAACCTTAAATACGCCATTGCTTTGTCCATCTCGAGGTGGACCAGTGAGTCTTCCGTTTCTCTAAGTACATTTTTAAATTCCTCATCCATCCTTTCAAAGTTAGTCTCCATGCGTAATGTTCTACTCTCTATATCTTTTATTTTCACTTCGTTTTTCTCCATGGCCTGCTGTAGAGACCTTATCTTACCCTCCACCTTCGATATATCCGCTTTCATTTCAGCCTTCAGTTTCCCCATCTCATCTTTCAATTCGCTTATATCTGCTCTAGTTTCATTGTGATTTTTAATCATCATTTCTTGCATTTTAGATATAGCTTCCTGCAAGGATAATAGGGAAGTTTGTATATTAATGTTGGGGACATTAGGCTGCTTTTCCCCTGTTAACTCTGGTTATACAAGTTTGGATAAACCACATCGCATTTTTACTTGTAGCAATCTATGCCCCAAATGAAGACCAAGGGAAATTTTTTAAACACCTCCACCAAAAAATAGTAGGCTTTGAAAAAAGGAACATTTGCTTGATTGGCGATTTTAACTCCATTGCAGACTACCAAAAAGACCATAGTAATATGGGAAAAAACAAGAAGGGGAAAAGGGAACTTTCTGCGGCATGTAAGGAAATGATGAAAGAGTTAAATTTAAAAGATTTATGGAGGGAACGGAATCTTGAAGAGAAACAATTTACATACTATTCTAATCCACATAAGACTTGGACTAGAATAGATATGGCTTGGATGGATTTGGATTTGGCTAATGAAATAAAAGAAATTAAAATCCTACCAAATGAATGGGCTGACCACAACCCAATACAGCTAATTTGGAGAGATAGGAGAGGAATAAAAAAAAGATGGACACTGAACACCCAAATAGTAAATGAAGAAGAGTATATTAATAAGCTGAAAGAGGAGCTAAACTATTTTCTAAAAGATAATAATAATGAAACAACTTCAAAACAGAATATTTGGGATACTATGAAAGCAATTATAAGAGGTACAACAATTTCCTATAATGCTATGAGAAACAAGAGAACTTATGCCCAACAAAACGTATTACAACAACAAATCAAAGATTTAGAAATACAATTACAAAAAACCCCTAAGATCCAAGGAATACAAAACCAGTTAATATTAGCCAAACATAAGCTGAATTTAATTGAACAAGATAAAATAGAAGTTAGCTTGAGAAGGTCCAAACAAAATTATTTTGAACACGCCAATAAACCAGGAAGATGGCTATCTTATAAACTTAAAAAAGAAAAAGAAAAGAGACTGATACACCAACTAATAGACGAGAAAGGCATACCACAACATGAGATTGAGAAGAAAAAAGATATATTAAACTATTTTCAAAGATTATATAAAAAAGAAGAAATCAATGAAGACAAAATAAGAACTTATCTGGAGAATACGAATGATAAAACAATAGGGGAAGGAGAGAAAGAATTATTAAATAAGGATATTACATGGTCTGAGTTGAAATCTGCAATGGAGAATCAAAGTAATAATAAATCCCCTGGTCCAGACGGGATTCCAGTAGAATTGTACAAAGCTACAATAGAGTTAGTAGGGCCACTGATGCTGGAAGTGTTTAACGAAGTACTTTTGGCAGCCAAAATGCCAGACTCATGGAGGGGGGCGTTGATTTCGTTAATTCCGAAGGAGGATGTAGATGCCAGATATATCAACAATTATAGACCAATCTCACTTTTAAACGCTGATTATAAATTATTTACCTCAATTATAGCGAATAGAGTAAAACAAGTTTTAAATTTATACATTCATGAAGACCAAAATGGTTTCCTTCCATCCCGCCAAATCAAAAATAATCTAAGAACCGTTATTGACGTCTTAGAATATTATGAAGTTCATCCAGAGAAACAATTTGCACTCATGTTTTTAGATGCGGAGAAAGCATTTGATAATCTACATTGGCACTTTTTAATACAAAAAATCTATAACATGAGTCTGGGCACTAAATTCGAGAACATTATCACAACAATTTACAACACCCAACAGGCCAACATACTAATTAATGGTGAACAAACAGGCCCATTAAACATTGAAAAAGGCGTTAGACAGGGTTGCCCCCTCTCACCCCTCCTATTTATACTTGCTTTAGAATCACTGTTAACGCGGATAAGACAAAACTCTGAAATCCAAGGAGTTAGGATCAAAGCAGAGGAATATAAACTACAGGCGTTTGCAGACGATATGGTTTTCTTCCTAGAGGAACCCATGGAAAAAGGACATAACCTAATAAAAGAACTAGAACAATTTGGTTCAGTAGCAGGATTAAAGATTAATAGAAATAAGACAAAATTACTGACTAAAAATCTAACAGAGAATCAGAGGAAAGAATTAGAAAAAACCATGGGGATACAGGCAACAAAAAAGGTCAAATATTTAGGCATATGGTTAACACCACATAGTAAATCGCTCAAAGAGAATAATTATGATAAACTATTAAAGCAAATTAAGAAAGACCTAGAATCTTGGAATAAGCTGCAGCTTTCTCTACTGGGCAGGATTGCCACGATCAAAATGAACATTTTACCAAAACTCCTTTACTTATTCCAGACAATCCCAAATAAATTACCCAAAATTTTTTTTGAAGATATAAATAAGGTAACACTTAAATTTATTTGGCAAGGGAAAAAAGCTAGAATCAATATTAAGGCTTTACAAGATGCAAAAAGTAGAGGGGGGCTAGCGCTCCCAAATTGGGAATTATATTATTGGGCAGCCAACTTATTATGGTTAAAAGACTGGGTCAATTTACTCAATAAAAGAACTTTAGCCTTGGAAGGGCATGATCTTCAGAGAGGGTGGCACGCATTTCTATGGGATGTGGGGAAAACTAAACAGTCGTATTTTCATAGACACCTTATTAGAGATTCATTATTAACTAATTGGAAAAAAATATGCAAAAAACATTATTTAAAAATTCTGATTTGGCTTTCAACAATGGAGGCAATGGTTCATCCCAACAATTTGGATATAACAAAAACGACTAAATATAAAGATTTATTAGACCCTCTAGGAAAATTAAGAACTCGACAGGACTTACAGGAACAGGGATTTAAAATTGACCAGTGGTTATATATACAAATCCATAGCAGATACAAACAAGATATCAAAGAGTTTGGAATTTATAGCAAATTACAATATTTAGATAAAATCTTATTAGGACCAAATAAAAAGAATATCTCCAAATTTTATAAATATTTATTGGAGGTAGAATTAGAGCAAGAGATAGTGAAAGGGAACATGATAACGTGGAGTAGGAATATTGGAAGAAGCATTACATTAACAGAATGGGAAAAGATCTGGAATAGAAACATCAAGATTACGAAATCAGCAGCGTACAAAGAAAATATGTATAAAATGTTATATAGATGGCACTTACCCCCTTCGAGGTTGGCGAAGATGAACCCTAACATGAGCTCAAGGTGTTGGAAATGCAAAAGCACTGAAGGAACATTTTTCCACACGTGGTGGTCTTGTAAAACTAACCAAAAATTTTGGCAAAAAATTAGAAAATGGTTGGAGGAGATAACTAAAGAACAAATAGACTATAAACCAGAGTTCTTCCTGTTAGGGATCTCTGATAGATATTTATCCAAAATATGTAATAATCCATATTCTAACCGCAGCTAGATTAGCGTTTGCTCAATGTTGGAAATTACCTCATACACCTTCAGAGCAAATGGTTATTCAGAAAATTTGTGAGTGTGCTGAAATGGATAAATTAACGATAGCATTAAAAAACAAAGAGTCCCCAACATTTTACAACAACTGGGACTCATGGTATAATGGGCTTACACATAGACAAATTATGTAAATGATAAAAAGTAATCTAAACATAATGGAAAAGAGGAGTAGATTGGATATGATGAAGAGAAATGATCCTTACAGACTGTCACAAAAAGATATCATTCGTTTTTAATTGTATTTCTACCCTATTCTCCCTCCCCTTCCCTTCCCTTCTCTCCCTCTATATCCGTTCCCTTTCCCCCAACTAGCCTTTATCCGATGTGCTAGGCCGGGTGTTTTCCTTCTTTCCCCCTTCCCGTTTTTCTTTCTACTTTGTAAATGTATTGTCGATGTGTTTTTAAATTGTAAATTTAATAAAATCTATTTTTTTAAAAAAATATGCAGATTATAACTGCAAATGTTCAGAGCTCTGGGTATGGTAATTGTTTCCATAAAATGTTTATTGTAATTCAAGTTTTGCTTTCATTTTTGAAGAGTTGAGCATGACAGTTTATATGTCCTTCACGGAGTCTTCCCATAAATATAAATAGATTATTTTTTTCTCAGTTTTGGTTGAATAACAAAGTGCTGATGATTAGTTCTTTCTTCCTGGTTCTTTTCAGACATAAATATTATGAGAAAAATACATTTTTTTTGCTTTTGCTTTTCAAAGGTATTGCAACAGTCATTTACAAGTTCTTGGCTTTTTACCGAAAAAGGAGAGGAAGAAAAAGAATGATCCAATAGAAGAGGTAAAAGTTCGACACCAGATGGATTCAATAGCCTTCAGCCTGACAGTTCCTCCACTTGCTTTGAAGATGCCCAATGGCCTGGATGGGATGTCCCTCTCTCCACCAGGGGCCCGGCTTCCTCTCCACTACTTGGAAGCAGAATTGGAAGACCCCTTTGCTTTCAATGAGGAAGATGAAGAGCTCAAGAAAGGGACAGCTGTGAAGAAAAAGTTGCAGAGCAAATTAGCCCAAAACCGTCAACGCCAGAAAGAAACTGAGATTCTGAAAGTTCGCCAAGAGCACTTTAACCCCGTTCCTGCACCTTTGCAGCAGCAGCCTTTGCAACCACAGCAACATGCCCATGTCTCACCTACACCAACGTCTTTAAAGCCAGCAGTGCTCCCACAGGGCTTAGTTTGCAAGTCACCTCAACCTCAGAATACCAGCCTACCAATGCAGGGAGTGGCACCCACCACACATGCTATAGCACAAGCCAGGCAGTCGGCCAACAAAAGACCTCTGCCTCTCTTGCACCCTACTAAAGTTCATGCCCCAGACCCACCCAGGGCTGACAGGATCCTAATGAAAGCCACAGCCTTCTCCCCATACTCATTCTGTAGGAGCCGATTACAGAGACTGGTGAAACTGTGCACTCAAAAACATCAGCTAGATGCTGATCTCTTTCCACATTTAGGTAAGTACAGAAGTGTATCTGCATTTTTGTTCAGTGTAAATAGATCAGTAATTGTATGTGAGCAAACTAATTGGAGAAACATTGGGTCTTTAAATTTGTTTATTGGAAAGAATAAGGTAATCCATAAAGGGATGTCTCAGTATTCTTCCTCAGAATATACAGGGTACTCATTACTATTTACTATTTCATCATGAAGTCAGAAATATATATCTTCTGTCCTGGAAAAAGAAATTCAGGGGCACTTGAATGTGGCTGAAGAAGCTCATCTTTTTTCTCCCTTTTCAGGGTTGGACTGGTCTGAAGATAGTGGAGAAGAACTGGAAGAATTAGATCAAACCTCTCCATACCAGGTTGCATGGTCTATCCGGGAAGCCCTCAGATATGAAAGGAATGAGTAAGTACATGAAGAAGGGCAAAAATAATACAAAATAAAATATGGCTTTACAGTATTTACAGTAAAACTTTCCTTTTAGTAGACATTAAACAAAATCTAAATGAAAAATGTCCTCTATTGTATTCATAGTTTGTTCATTGAGGCTATTAAATGTTTTGCTACTAAAAAGTTATTCTTTGTTCAGCCAAAAATACAAAAATATTGTTTCCACATTTCTTGTACTTTGATTGAAATGAATCTTTTAACAATATAATTTACTGAGCAGATGGTACCATTTGCAAAATTTGCAAAACATGATGGCTTTTGAGGTTTTTGTGTCCAACTCTGATCAGTGCAAAATCAAAACAAAAACTTCCCTGCTAGATAGAAATTCAAGCTCTGCTTGGATACCTTCAGTGAAGGGGAAGCATCAATTGTGTGGGTAATTGATTCCACTGTCAAATTGGTACACAGTTTAAAGGGTTTTTTGTGTTCACTTTTATTTTTTACAACTATAGCATGCTGCATACTCCCACTATTTTAGGTGCCATATTGTCAAAAATACAAAGTAGCATAACAACTTAAGCAAAATCAGATTGGTAATTAAATAATGATCCTATATTGTTTTCCATTGTATGTGAGGTTCTAGAGCACGGCTATCAAACTTGCTGCCTGCGAGCCAGATGCATCACGTGCTGGCAACGCCCATGCCTGGTTTAGCAAAGGGGAAAAAGTTGTGATACATCACATGATAATGCAGTGACAACGCAAATTTGACACTCCTTGTTGTCAGCTTTGGAAGCCATATTTCACTCTGCCACATAGCCTGAGAAAGTGGGAGGGGGGTGATTTCAATTGAGTAGCTCTAAGTAGACAAAATAAAATTCTTTTCTTGGTTCAAGGCTATTAAGTGTGGCGCAGCAGAGAAAAAGGATCTTACACTGGGACAGATAGTGATTGGTCCATGTGATGTGATGATGGGAGAAAAGGGGATGGATTGTAGTTTGGGACATTGTGGGAAGTCCAGGAAACTTTTAGTTTCGAGATTCCACAGATGTGCCAGCTGCTATTGTAATAAAGGTACATTTGAGATTATGCTTGTCTTGGAGTTACTGATTGGAATGGAGGCTTGCTGGAATGTTGACACCTGTTCTAGAGAGCCTATCTCCAAAGGCCTTGTGAAAAATCCCACTTTTTATTGCTTTCCTGACATTCAATATTTAATTAAAACAACAAAACATAATGTTCTTCTCATTATCATTTTATAATTGCTTGTGATTCTGGTCTGTTCCTTTTTTAGGAGTATTATTTGAAAATCATATGAATAACTGAGTTGCATGCTATTACAAATCAGTGAAGCTGTTACATAATAATATATTGTTGTGTTGGATGGAAAGAAGATTATCAAAAGGGTGGGAGATCGAACTGTATATGATTTTGGGGGGACATATATTTACAACAGAGGTCTCCAAACTTGGCAACTTTAAGAGTTGTGGACTTCAACTCCCAGAATTCTCCAGCCAGCATAGCTTAAAGCCACAAGTCTTAAAAATGGCCAAGTTTGGAGATCTCTGATTTACAACAATTTATCCTCTGTCCGCTCTTCCAGCATGTTCTGGGATTGCTCATATAAAATTTCAAATATAATTAAAATAATTAATTACATTTCTTTGATTAAAAATCATTACCTAGAGATAAAGATTAATGGATCCACCAGTGACGGGATTCAAAAACTTTTACTACTGGTTCAGTGGGCATGGCTTGGTTGGCGCACTTTGCACATGCACACACTTTGCATGCACATGTGCATCAAACACGCACTTTGCGCAGGTGCAGAAGCGTTTTGACTCACCTCCTTCAAGCCTGCGCTCTCCCAGTCACTTCAGCAGCTGCCGTATGGCACTCTTCTGTGCCGCACAAAGCAGCTGCGCTTCAAAAGCAGAAGATAAAAGTGAGTATCGGAGCCCGGGCAGGCGGGCAGGCCCAACAGCAGAGCAGCGGAGAGAACTGGTTCGGTCTTCACTGCTCATTGCCGTTACCAGCTCGGCAGAACCGGGCCAAATCAGTAGCATACAACCACTGGTATCCATTTAATACATTGCACCCACAGATGCCCTCTGCAAAAGCCAGATCTTCACTGCTTTTCAAAATATTAAAAGGGGTATGGGTGAAGCTTTTAGAGGTATTCAGATTATAAGCAGAGGTTGCTTCAGAGGGCTGAACTACCCTTCCAGAAGTCTGTTCCATGTTCCCATTCCCATCCATCAGCTTCTCACAAAGTGTACTTATAGCATCTCCCTTTGGGAGATGCTTTTTGAAAAAGATGGTTCCATGGGTAGAACATTTAGATAGAACCAACAGTTTGAATTATAATCAGAAATACATTATCAACCAATGTAGTGTTTGTCATAAAGGTATCATAAGTCTTAGCCATGAGGGTTGATTTGTTCTGTCCTAATTGCAGATTCTTGGTAGTTTTGAAAGGCAGCCCCAAGTACAATGCAGAACCACTTATTCAAAAAACAACAACAATGGCTAGAAAATAAACTAAAGTTAAGCAGTCTCCTCTGGCCATCCAACTCCATTGTTTGATCTAATAAGAGCTGTGTTGCAGATCTGCTCTTTCAGGTGGCATTCACTTCTGTTTAGTGCCAATGCTGGGACAATAAGCACACCAACAGGATTCAATGTCAGCTTGTTTTGTCCCACCTAACTCAATCCCTTTCAGCCTTCAGACATCAGATAAGGACTCCACTACATCTCCTGTCTGGTCAAGTGGAGATATACTACTGAGTGATGGATGACTTTCTTGAGTAACATGGGAGAGAGAACTGAGTACTGTGATGCCTGTATAGGAGTGGCTCATTTGCTAATCCCCCATTTGTTACAAACTGTTTTTATAAGTAGGAATATCCCCATAACTTACAGTTATCACAGATGGTCTAAATGATATCAAAATTTTGATTCTCCCTACCATTTTCCTGCAAACACCGTGTCTGATTTTGTTGTTGATGATGATGATCAGCCAAGTATGGAACCATTGGTTGTGACAGGAATTGATTGGGTGCCTGGTCAACCTAGCATGAGATTGTAGGCTAGAGTGAGTAACTAATCCAAAATCACTCAGCCAGCATTTATGCCTAAAGTAGTACTCAAATTCATAGTTGCCTGGTCTGAAGCCTTAATAACTAGGGATATCAAAAAAATTAATTGGATAAAATCTACGGAAGACGTTTGTACAGAAGAGTAACTTCGTCAATCATGTTGAAGTAGGGAAATCATATATGGGAACATTATAAAAGGAAGCTCTTATATTGCCTATCCAAACCGATACTTTCCTGATAGATGGATGCACTAGATTGGGGAAGACTGACAGAGGAAGTGGTATTAGGGGGTTGCATGAGGAAAGGAGAATCAATTATCACTTCCACTGGCAGGAAAAGTAGCTCTTTCTTTTACAAAAATGCAATCCTGATAACCAACATTTAAAGCAGCAAAGTAAAAATAACAATACACGCATGTGGTAACATTTCTCAGATGGTAAAAGCTGAAAGAGTTTTAATAAAGCACCAACAGATCCTTTTAGGAGAACTGATTTCATAAATAGAATATAACCAACTCTCTCACTGGTTGCCACCTCACAAGATAGGAACTTCTAAAAACAATATAGTGCATTGCCATTTATATGATTTAATTGTGAGCAAGAGCATGGACTTGACTGTACATCCACTTCATGAGATTGGTCCAGTCAAATTTCATGTTTTTCATCAGGGCTGACCCTGGGAGAGAAAAAGTAATATGGCAATTGTTTACTCAGAGATACTAGCTATTGCGAATGCTAGCAAATGCTGTTCCCAAATGGCTGAATATGAGGTCTTGTTCATGACTTACGGGATTATGGGAATGCTCCTAGCAGCATGACAGCATGCCTAACCAAGAAGCTGGATTTCATTATAGAGTGTGCGGATTCAGCCAGAGTATTAGGATTGAGTGATTTCAGTCTTCTTTCCCTGGGGGACCTCAGGAATTCATGGCTATCATAAAAACATGGATTTGTCTCAGATCCTTACCTCCTTGCCCCAAACAGCTGGATACATTTTAGATCTGGTATTTACCTCAGATCCATTATTCAGTAATCTAGTTCTGGGGGACTTTTCTGTCAGCCCACTTTAATAGAGTTTCCTCCTTCACTGCCTCATGAAAATGGGGTTAACTAGAAGCGTCACCAACCTCTTCTGTGAACGGACTCATTAAAATGGCCCCTCCAGACAGCATATTTCCAACAGGAATAGTGGATCCATTTCTTTGGATAATTTCCTTGTAAGTCTGTTGAACACCTTGTTGATTTTTGGAACATAGAAGGACTCAACAGAAGGTCAGTGCTATCCATTGATCCTTTGCTGCTTCTTTAGTTCATTGAGTTGTCCCACTGACTGGGAAACGAAACAAGTAAAGAGATGCCTGGAATCACACTGCTAAAAAACAAGAAGCAAAATTGATCAGATGCAAGTAGTGTTAAAAGTGGTAAAGTATAATGAATAAAAGGGTGCAAGCCACTGTACCCTTCTTGTACCTGGAAAAGTCTCTCTAACCCTTTTAGGAAGGGATGGATCAGAAGCTCTAACCAGTTGGTGATGATCATCTGGCTCAATATTTCATTGCTAATGAATTTAATTGATCACATTTACTCCAAGTTGGATGGACAGATTTTAACAAAATACAGAGATGATGTCATGTGCTGTTATGTTGGAGATTTTTGTATTTGTAGTTCCCCCATGGAACCACTCGGAGAGGTCATTTGTCTCATCAATATGCAGCTAATATCTCTACTCCAGGCTCATTGGGAGATGCTGTGGAAGTCATGGCCTAATGGCTAGAGGCTGTCAGAGTCTGAATGGAGAAAAATTAGCTAGAACTCAACCCAAACTTGTCAACTCATAAAATATTTCTACGGTCTTTTTAGAGTTGCCAATAGAAAGGGAGGGGGGAGCAGTGCAGCAGTTTGCAAAACTGAAACTGCATTGCATAAATGTTTTCAAAGATAGTAACTAGGTGACTGAAGTTTCTGCTGCACAAAATTCTAACTGGAGAGCATGATTGATGACTCTTGGCTATGGATGTGTCCCATTGGAGAATATGAATTATGAATTATTACACCCAGAGGGTGGGAGGAAAACCAGAGTCAAGGGTGACAATGAATTATGTGTCTCAGAGTTGGCTACACCCAGGCAGTGCCAGCAGGTTAACTCTCAATAAATCCTTTTAAGTTTTGGAAGTTTGGCTCGAGACTCATGATTTAAATGGAGGTAACTGCTGGAATCCTGACAGCTAGTCAACTCTGAGACACATAATTCATTGTCACCCTTGACCTTGCCGGAATCCTGACATGGCTATTGATTCAATGGATTGCTCTAACTTTGACTTTTGTTGGAGCTGTACTACTGCAGAAAGACTTTCAGTTTTGCAAATGTGGGGTCTTCTGCTCAAAAAGCAGATGGGGCATGACCAGAGGGCTTTTGTATAGATGCAGCTAGTACACTATTTACTTCCCTACCTGGAACAGGACACTGGCTATTTTATCAACTTTTCCCCTTTCTCCAATCTTACAGGCCCAATGATGATTATGCCAGTGGCAGAAGAATCCGCATTTCCCAACTTTGCACTTACTTTCAGCAGAAATACAAGCACCTCTGCCGCCTGGAGCGGGCAGAATCTCAACAAAGGAAATGCCAACATACATTCCGGAAAGCATTGCTGCGGGCAGCAAATAGAGAACCGGAATATGCTGGGCAACTGATTCGAGAATTCCGTAGAGCTTCATGTCCTCAGATCAGGTGAGGGACTTTCCCATACAACTGCAGCAACCTAATTCTTGGGACATGCAAAATAAGGTTTTAACGGAACTTGGAAAATTTCAGCAACAAGACCTGAGTCAAATCTTCTAATATTATTAAATTTGCATCTATGATTTTTCTACCTGAGAATAATCCCACATAGCAAATTCATTCCAAATTAAGAGTGACAGAATATTATTGGTTAATTGTCAATATTGGTAATAGGTTTTACTTCTGAATTCAGATTGATTCCAGCTCTTACTAATAAAGTCTAAATGCTAGAATAGAGTATTATGGGCACAGGGGAGATATTTTTCAATAAATGACCTTGGAATGGGTTCTAATGCTGATGGTATCCCTCTTATTTCATTATGTCCCTGAAGCATGGTAACAGTTACCAAGATATTTCTGGTCAAGAGAGATGACTCACCTACATCATATGAAATAGAAGACACTTAAGGCTACAATTTGAGGTTCCAACTAAGTCCTGGATAACAGAAGAAGAGAGGGAGCGAGGGAGGGAGGGAGAGAGAGAGAAACCTGATTGGAATTATTGGCTCAGGTGGCTTCTGAAATTGAACGAACCAATAATATCCCCAGAATGCATTACTTAGTTTTTCAAGGAGAGTGCATTTCAGCCCAAAATTGTTTAAAACCTGTTTTACTAATCTGGTAAAGTGCCAACTGACAGTGTATCTAACTTGTCTAGACTGAGTTCAGTTTATTAGTCATTAGTTTATGCATTATCATTATTAGGTACCAGCTCACCACTTTGAGAGATTTCCATTAAGTTAGATGTAAAAGGAACCAGTTGATTTTCACTGCAAGTGTACTGTTTTTTTTTAATTTCAAAATCCCCGAAAGGTTTTCTGCAACAATTACATATGGTTATTAAAATATATCAGACACTTGTGAACCTAATACTGCAAATGCCAAACAGAAGTTTTTCACTTCCATCTTCTATAATGGAATTAATCTCATTATTGATATCAAAGCCACTTAAGAGATCTGGAAATAGGAGTATAGTCTGATATATTAGGCTGACAAAAGATCATGGTCACAAACCTGGTTCAAAATCATGTAAATAATCTGTACAAATTAGCACTATTTTGCACATTATACACAGAATTTTTTGATATTTTAAATAATTTAGTCTCATTTTATTTGCAAAAAGACAGATAAGAATATTGAAACCCTGATCCTTAACTTTTGAAAATTTTACTCAATCTGTCTTCCTGTAATACTTGCTTTATATTTGTATAAGTGCGTTTTCATAGAAAAACAGCTTCTCGGGAACTTGTTTGTTGTGTATACAAGCTTATTTGTACTCAATAGGGACAGAAAGGTATCTATTAATTATTTTAATTGTGTATTATATAGAGAATTGGATGTTATAAAGAGTGCAATCTCTGTGTTATGCATTGTACTTGTCTTTTAACATCTTCTAACTAGAAATAAATACTGACACCTTCTCCTGTTTGTGAATGTTTTGCAGGATGGATAAAATACTTCTGCAATGTGAAAGTAGACATAAATAATAATTAAATGTTAAGATTTTTGAGAAGATTATATTAATAAACCTCTCTCTCTCTCTCTCTCGGTGTGTGCGCACACGTGTACATCTATTTCAATTCAAGCCAAGTGAAGCAGAGGGATGCATCACCCTGCGGTGGAACCACAAAGGGTGAACCATGCACTAACAAGGCTCTTCCATTCACTAAACATTGTTTTCAACGTATCCTTTCCATTATTTATTTTTGAGGGATGAAAGGAATGAGTTTTGGTCTACACTGGAGCCTCAAGTCGTGATTGTAATCCGTACCTGGACTGTGATTGTGGCCCGATTTGGTCGTGTCTGGAAGCACGACTGACTGCGCATGCATGCAGTAAAAAAAAAATGGCGCCATAAGGGAAATCGGCATGGAAAGGGAATCTTTCTGTGCTGATTTTGTTTGCCACCCAATTTTTGAATGATGACTTGATTTAAAAATTGGGTGGATTTTTTGTTCGCTACCTGATTCGGTCGCAAACAGGAGTGTTCACGACCTGAAGTTCCACTGTATTTTTGTTTTCAATAAATAGCACTTGATATCTGTATTTGGTTGTACTTCTTTTGCACTGTGCATTAAGAGAGCAGATTGAATTCTAAAAGTAGGCTGGTATAATTGATTTATAAGGCAAGAAAGCCCAGTTGGAAAATTAAGCCTGTAACTCCATACTTAGAAATAGTGAGTATAGCATAATTTTGTATGATTTTAACAACTAGTTATTGGTTAAAAATGCAGCATTTTTTAATAGACAAAAAATAAAAGATAAAATGGTGAATGCATTAGCTCTGGGAGTAGAAAGGTTCTGCTAATTATTTTATTTAGTGTATTATGTATCAAATTTCTATCTGCTGAATCTTCAGGATTCACAGTGATTTAAAATATGCTAAAATGCAACAAAAATCCAAAGAATAATAAAATACTAAAAGATAATATGTAATAATAACAACAGAAATCCACTGTATAGAATATCCATCATAATTCTTTCTTAAAGATAGCCCAGAGAAGCTTTATTTTTGAGATTCTGGAAAGTTATCAACAAGGGACCTGTGCTAATTTCTAGAAAGAGTTTGTTTCATAATGTAGGTGTTGTGATAGCAATAGCACTTAGACTTATATACCAAAGCATTGTACAGAGTCAGCATATTGCCTCCAACAATTTGGGTCCTCATTTTACCCATCTCAGAAAAATGGAAGGCTGTGTCAGCCTTGAGCCTGGTGAGATTTGAACTGCCAAATTGCAGGCAGCCAGCAATTAGCGGAAGCAGCCTGCAGTACTGCACTCTAACCACTGTGCCACCAAGGCTCTGGTGTAGAATACCTTCCAGGAGAAGGGGTATCAGAAATCTCCTGAGGGGAATTTATCAGTTGGGTTGAATACAGTTAGATAGATAGTTCCAGATGCCAAGCTACAAAGAACATTATTAATCACAACTAGTGCTTTGAAAACTATTGGCAACCTATGCAGGTCTATAAAATAGGTGCAATAAGTTCATCATGATTCATGCCAGTCAACAAATATGCTACTGCATGCTGAAGACCATTCTGAATGGTCTTCAGAGGCACCAAAGTAAAATGAATTGCATCAATCTAACCAAGGTGTCAGCATTCCAGCAACACTCCATTCCAATCAATAACTCCAAGACAGACATCTCTCACACAAGGGATGATAATGGCATGGAGTCACTGTTGCAAGGTCCTCACTACAAGTAAGGTTTCAACTTTGCAGCTGATGAAACTGCAAAGGCCTCCTGTCCATCTAGAAAAAGCTGTGAGTCCAGGAATAATATATGAATTGCAGACACAATGAAATAAAAGGTAAACATTCCAAATTAGATTAAATGAGCTCAGAATTTTAATGTTTTTTCTTTTACCCTGTTCTTCATACTTTATATATTCACTTAAATCTCTTCTAGCATTTTCTTTTTTAGACATAGGTTTATCCTTAATTTATATTCTTTCTAGGCACGAAAAAATGGATAATTATAAAGTCAGCAATGTAGGCAGGAATGATAACATAGAAATAAACTTGTAGATGAAATGAGAATAAAATATCTGAAAGAAAATAACATACTGTGCATAATCATAATGCTGAAATGTTTTAAAAATCTGGTCACGTAAGCTACTTCTAGGTTAGAGTTGAACAATTATAAATGTTAACACAATCTACAGACTTGTGGATTGTACTTTGTTTTCATTAGAAATCTAAAGATGGTACAGAAGAAATATACTTAGTATAGTTAGTATTGTATACTTATACTTCTAACTGTGTGTTCTGAGCCCCAAGATCTGTTTTGAATACCAGTAATAAATGGAACTTATGGTACTACTCCTGATTAGGACCTTCTGTTTGTTATGCCTTCTTCATTTCAACATACTGTAGAACAGGAGAGAGTCACTTGCCATTGATATTAAAGAAGTTAGTAATCCTTCCTAAACCCTGCAGATTATCCACAGATTTTCATTCCATCCTTCATGCTTATATGCATTAAATTATGTTACAAATCTAGCAGCCATTATCTAAAGTGTTGTCTATACAAGCAATCAATCCTATGAACTATGTTTATTTGTGCAATTATATCAGTAAATCAACCTTTCACACGCCATACATTTTATCATCTTAGCTTGTGTCCCCTAACTTATGGTTTTAAACAATCCCTAGGCATTAGTTACATATTCTTACTCATTGTCTTGCTGTTCTGTAAATACCGGAGATAGCACTTGCTCATTTTGGTATTTATTAAGTTGAGAAAAACATGTTAAATATTGAACATATTTTTATGATCATGGAAGTGAAGCATATTGCATGAAAATATAATTTTGAAGGAATATGTCTGCTACAAATTGAGCAAGGAAACAGCTAGAGAAAGACTAAAGAGACTCCTAATTATATACCTTTTATGAGCAATCTAAGTTCAAATTCAGAATTTATTGATTTCCTCTCTGTGTCATTTTACAAAAACACAGGATTTTTTCAGCTGTTATATCTTCTATAGATGATAGAAATCTTCATTTTAATATATTATCTAGTTTTGCATTAGTTCATTAGAAAATAATCTTTGATTAATCAGAATGATTACATTCTGTCTTCCTCTGACAATTCTGATGAAGAATTTTTAGGAAACGAACACTGGCTCATTAGCAAAATACAGTACTTAATTCAGTAAACCCACCTTAAGACAATAGAAAATCATTGGCAGTCCTGCTGGAAGACAGTCTGCTATTAAATCTTCCAAATTTTGAAATACAGAAATAAATTACATTTAAAGGTGTGGGGTTTTTAAACTCTTTGAAAATAAAGTTGTACTTGAATCTCAACAGTATCATATCTTATTCTTTAAACTGGTATATATATATATATATAGATATCCTCTTGAATCGATCGCAGCAGCTTTTTTCAAGTTGTACAGCTAAGTTTGCTGATGGACAGCAATGCTCTGTGCCCGTTTTTGACATTACACATCAGACCCCCTTATGTGAAGAACATGCCAAAAAAATGGTAAGTACATTTGATAGTCAAGAAAAAACGGGGGGGAAAACCATACACATTCAGAACAACAGAAGTTGTAACAAACCAAGACATAAGCTCTAAGTGCAGAATTTTCCACTGTTACAGTTCTTTTCAGAAAGCTGTAATATGGTTTGCCAGTTATGATTAAAAGTAATAACTATCTTATTGGGCTAACCAAAAGGATTATGGGAAGGTACTTAAGCTTCCTGTCATAGTTTGATGCAGGCTCCACTTATTTAGCTTTCCTACATTTCAAAACTTCCTTCTTTATTACAGTCCCTTAAATGTTTGCAAAACTAATATAGACAAATACACTTAGAATTCTGAATATTGTCCGAAAGTTATTGCTCATTAACAGTTACAAAGTAGTAATATATAAATTGTTCTGAGCTCAAAATGGTTGTTTCCTAGTCTGTTTTGATAACTTTGAAGTAAAAATGGTGATAAGTTTGAAACATTGTGTTTTGAGCCAGAAACATTTCCAGAATGATTGAAACTGCCTGCTACAACCATTTTTAACTTGAATGGGTCATTTTGAATTAAAAATTGACATTCAGATTAAAAGTGTTATGCATACTCCTATTACACAGCACATTTGTGGTATTTTTCATTTGTTTTGATAAGCAGGACCATTCCAATAACAGTGTGATATGCTAAACTGACTAATCCACTTGACAGAAAAATAATCTGATTATTTAGCCTCTGTGAGTCATTCTTTCTAATGATTTCAGTATCATTCATTTTCTAGCCTTCAAATACCTGCAGATCTTATTTTGAATTAACATGTATGCTGTTATGATTACATTTGGAAATATTTTGGCCTCTATGTACTGTTAATTCTCTTGCCTTTGCTATTGGTGAAAATGAGGTTCATGATTGGTTTTTCATGTTATCAAGATAGTCTGTCTGAATTTTGTGATGTAATTATACTCTTGGAATCTCAAGGAAAAGAAAAAATTTGTTAATGTCTTCTTTCCCACTCTGAAAGGATAACTTCTTGAGAGGAGACAGCTGTCGTAAAGTTCAACACCAGCAGCAGAAGAAACCCAGGAAAAAAACAAAGCCCCCGGCGCTTACCAAAAAACACAAGAAAAAGAGAAGACGAGGGCCACGGCGCCCCCAAAAGCCAATTCCTCCTGCTGTGCCCCAAGGAAACCTTATTATGCCCACCAGCATCTCACTGCCAATGGAGATAGCTCATATACGGTCAGTGCCCAGCTCTGAATAAATATACAGAACATTGGTTAACTGTACATTGTACATTGTTTCAGAATACAGGTAGGCCTCGCTTACTGACCACTTATTTAGTGATTGTTCAACAGTACTGAAAAATGAGACTTATGAGTGGTTCTTGAAACTGCATCCATTTCATCCTCCCTGCAGTCTCATGCTTGCAATTCAGGTGCTTGGCAACTGGCCCGCATTTACTGTTGCCATTTGCAATCTTCACGGTTGGCTTCTGATGAGCAACACCAATAAGGAAGCTGGCAGGAAGTTGCAACTTACAGTCATATGACATCACATTTAATGACTCACAGTGGTTTGCTTAACTACTGCAGAAAGAACTGATGTCTTAAGTTGGCACAGTCATATGACATTACGCTTAATGACTGTGCTCCTTAGTGATGGAGTTGCTGGTTCCTATTGCAGTTGTTAAGTGAGGACCTTCTGTACTGGAAAAGGCAGAACTGTAGTTATGCAGCTATTATATATAGGCAAGACAAATTCATATGTTTATGTTGTTGATGATTATGGGATCATCTTAATAACATCAATAGTGCCTCAGCTTATTGAGATTTAATACAACAACCTTGGTATCACACAAACTCCTAAATGTTATCAAAATCAACAAGTATGTTCACTGACATATATTAGTCCTGAAATCAATCATTGTAGAGATTTTTTGATGCTCTACATTTCCTCTGGATAGAAATGATTTATTGTATAGTTTAGTCCTAAATTAAAATTATTTTTCATCAGTTCCTATGAATTTCTCCTTCTCATTTAACTTGGAGAAGTTAAAATACTGCCTACTAGTACTTCAAACTGCATTACATCTCAGGAATGGAATTGATGTTTAAAAAGTGGTATTAATTTCTCTTCTGACAATGTGCACTTTGAGTTAGAATCCCAGTACATGATCACTAGAGGTCACGTGTCTATCAAAGAAAGCTATTTAGATCCATGCTGCAAATAGTATGAGTGATGGGTGTGTCCCACATTCCTATTTTTTTAAAGACATACTATATTTGTACCTGCTTCTTAAAGCTATATTTAAATTCCTCTTGTCTAATGATATGAGTGTCTGACAGTGTTACAATCTGACACAAATGTAGGCAGTGGTCTTTTCTGTATCAATCTAGTTCAGCAGGCTTTCAGCTCTGATGTCAGCCCAGTGTCCATGCTATTGGGAAAAAGAAGAAAGATATGGCTTCTTTGCCTGTCAAAAGCATTTTCTAATGTTAGGATTCTGGTGCAGCCATATAAATTCCTCTTTTCTCTTCATGGAGTTAAGCTGTATTGGGGGAACTGTTTAAAACAGACTGTTTCACCATAGCTGGGTGATTAGCACTGGATCTGGTTCTCCACCAAACCATCTGACTACCTTCCCTGTATCTTAGGAGTCCCTCCACACCTGAGCTGAGTACAGATGAACTGCCAGATGACATTGCCAATGAAATCACAGACATTCCACATGACCTGGAATTGAATCAGGAGGACTTCTCTGACGTCCTACCACGACTGCCTGATGACTTACAAGATTTTGATTTCTTCGAAGGTATCTTCTTTTGTTTTTACATGACATTCAGTGCTAACAGTAGGTGCCATTCAAAGCTGAGTTATAAGATAAAAAAGTGACTTAACATTTTGGAACTAGTTTCATGATTTCAAAATCCAAATATTGGGGAAACTTCTGAAAAATGGGAATGGAATAAGTAAATGACTCAAGGTTTGAGTCTTTGCTGCATGTCAGATAGATGTTATTGTTCCCTAGCTGAAAGAAATCGGCTTTGAACCAATGTGATTTTACCACACTGGTCTTTTCTGCTTCACAAAACCATATTATATTTTCTTCCCATTTTAAAATGTAGGGTTTTAATAAGGTACTGTATGTAAAGGGATTTTGAAAAATATTAATGTTATGCGGCTTTTTATTTTTACGTTTGTTTCCAAGTTTGAGGTTCAGTTGCTGATTTTGTAATTTACAAAAGAAAGTTGAAGTTTATGAATGTAACAAAGGCTGTTTTTAAAAAGGCTTACAAACAAAATGCAGCTCTGAATAAAAAATAATTGCAACTGTCCACTGTGAATTTTACAAGTTTGCTATTACAGAAAACTGTCTTCCTTGAAGCACATTCCCCCTCCCATGTACTTTCCACGGTAATAAGAACTTTCTCCAAGTTCTTCTTTTTATCTCCCCCATTTCAGAAAGGTGACAAGCATTATCTTGTAAACAATTGACAAATAAAATAAAATAAATAAAATAAAATTAATAGGTGGAAAGGCTTTTTCAGTCATGGCTTACTTCCCCAAGGAGGTTTGCAGCAATATCGCAATTTTCACTTAACTATTACTTTAGTGTCATATTGGAATCTGGATTTTCTTTTAAAATGTCATTGAATGTAATATTACATATATTTGGTTCTGCTTTCCTTAACTTTTTTTAATTCAAAGACTTCATACATTTTATTTAATATTAGCTGCATGCATAATAATTGAAAAAAAATTGAAAGGTAATAGTATATGTAAATCAAAGATTAGTATAGATACTGCATGGTTTTTGAAATAACTGAGAATCAAATATATTTTCTCTTTTATCCCTTTATATATCAAAATGTTAGTCTAAGAAGATCTGGCAAAACTGTTTTGTGTATACTGCATCCTTAATTATCCTTATTGTTAACAGTGAAAGCCAGTATGGTATTCTGGTTAAGGTGCTGGAAGACCCAGGTTCTAGTCCTCCCCTAGGCATGGAAACCAACTGGGTGACTTTGGGAATAATCATTCTCTCCCAGCTGTAGACTGGGAAACTGGAAAAAAATCTGTCTACTAACACTGATCTGGACTGGCTTCCTATTTACACAAAAATAATATTTTCATTTGGTAAATCATGGAGGTTCTTCTTTTGCAAACCACAGATTTTGGAGTTACCTGCTACAATTGGTTGACATCCCTGCTACATTATATATCTTCAACAGCTTGTCTCAAGATATATGTAAGAGAGAAGCTAATTTTGTGGTGTGTTTTTTGTTTTGTTTTGATGAAGGTAAAAATGGAGACCTCCTCCCTACCACTGAAGAGGCAGAGGAACTGGAACGGGCCTTGCAGGCTGTAACTTCTCTTGAGTGCCTGAGTACTATTGGTGTGCTCACACAAACAGACGGTGTACCAGTTCAGGAACTATCAGACAGAGGAATAGGGGTGTTTTCCCCAGGTGCTGAAACTTCAGGAATTCAATCTTTGAGCCGAGAAGTCAATGCAGATCTAGGTGAGCTGCTGAATGGCCGCATAGTACATGATGACAATTTCTCTAGCCTGGATCTTGATGAGAACTTGCTCCGTTCTGCTACCTTATCCAACCCATCTACGCCCCTGGCAGGGCAGATTCAGGGGCAATTCTCTGCCCCAGCCAACGTTCGCCTTACTTCGGCTACTCTGATAAGCCAGAGTGCGCTTGGGGAGAGAGCTTTCCCGGGACAGTTTCAAGGACTTCACGATGGCAGCCATGCCTCCCAGAGGCCACACCCTGCCCAGCTGCTAAGCAAGGCAGATGACCTAATCACCTCACGACAGCAATACAGCAGTGACCATTCACACTCCTCACCCCATGGAAGCCATTATGACAGTGAGCATGTGCCATCACCTTACAGTGACCATATAAGGTCCCCCAGTTCCACCTCTTATTCCAGCGATAATTTGGCAGCTACTTTCTCTACTGAGATGCCCATCATAGCACAGCATCTGCTCCCATCACAACTCGAGGTGCCACTTAGTGGGGTGGTGAATCCCAGAACTCACTGGGGGAGTCTCCCTGTAAACCTTGGTGATCCTTCTCCATTTAGTAACCTGCTTGGTGCAGATGGACACCTCCTTTCCACTTCCCTGTCTACACCGCCTACTACATCGCACTCAGAGACCACCCAGCCTGCCTTCGCCACCGTGACCCCCAACAGCTCCAGCGTGCTTCCGGGGTTACCACAGACCAGTTTCAGTGGCATGGGTGCTGCATCTTCTGAACTCATGGCCTCCACTTCTCCTAAGCAGCAGCTCCCACAGTTCAGTGCAGCCTTTGGCCACCAACTAAGCTCCCACAGTGGCATTCCCAAGGACCTGCAACCCAGCCACAGTTCCATAGCTCCTCCAACTGGCTTTGCAGTAACAGGTGCCACAGCTACAAGTACCAATAATGCATCAGCTCCCTTCACCACCTCCAGCTGAGTTTGTCTGCCTCTGAATGACAGGCAGCTTGGGTACCTTATATAACCATTGCATCCACCACCACCTTTTCTCTTCCTGTTTTTTGTCACCCCCTTCTTTTTAAAGACTTTTTAAATTTAAAACAAAAAAGAGGGGCAAATGTCCTGATTCAGTACAGACCAGGGTTTTCCTATTAAGCTCTGCTCTAATTATCCTATGTGCTGTTTTTGTATTGGTGCTCATTTATTTTTGGCAGGTTGCTGTACTTATCCAGTTAATACTCAGTTAGGGAATACAGCACAGATGCTGGATGTAATTGATTTTAGTCAAAGAAAGGTGAAGATGTACGTAATTGACCTTAGAATAAGAAATGAGAAGATACCTCAAATAAAACAAATGCAAGCTCCTAAGGTTCAAATTGGACTTTCAGTCCCATTGGCATCTGGGGAGGAGAAGGAAGTTGCTTTATTTTTGAAGGTGTGGGTATGATGAAAGTCAGCCCTTTTAATTTGATAACTGGGCACTATAGAATTAAGCCGAAACCATAATCCAGTTAATTCTGTCATCTTAACCAGTGGGCTCTTTACCTCTTCTGTGAGTTTAAAGGTGTGTTTGTGTGCATAAGTATATAGATGGATAAATGGCAATTCTTTTCTTTCTTGTCTTGAAGAAGCTCCTCAAACTAGTGACTGTTCCTACTAAGATTGAATACACACACACACACACACATATGAATATATATATATGTGTGTTTTCTTAAGTTTTCACGTGTATGGTATTCAGCTTTGTTTGGGTATTTTCCCACGTCATTATATTTGTGCTTTTAAAGTTGTAGCAACGTTTC